AGCGTCATCAGAGCTGACCAAGCCGGAGAGCCGTCGTCCACCAAGACTGTGAATGGTATAAGAACCACCGCTACCACCTAGGCCGATACGACGACGCCGGAGTCGTCCAAGTTTTGAGACTATCTGAATAACCTAGATGAACGGTAAAAAGTAGAGTTAACTTCCAAGGTTGGGTTCGAAGTGAAGGAAGCCACTTATAACTATATACCGGTTATGCTAATAATAAAGCATACGAGTAAGCACGATAAAGTGGAAGGAGAGGCATAAATACAAAGGTATATTTAAATATACATGAGAAGCATCACAGAGAAATTCACAAAAGAGACTAGGACATAGCAAGTCATAGACTTGGTATTACGGATAGAAACAGGATAGATACGGTGGAGACTATATTTAGTTGACTAAAAATAGACGTGTTTCATGGATCGCGTCTTTGATCAAACACGTCTATTGGTAGCCAAATAGCTCTAGTCTCCACCGCGTCTATCCTGTTACTATCCATTATACCATGTCTATCAATTCCTGTCCTTGTGTCTTGTGTGCCAACCCGCAAACGTTGTGGTTAAACATTGAACCTAATCAAAGCAAGCAGTACCACAACATTTGTGGGTTGACATAGAAGATACTAGGGCATAGCAAGTCATAGACTTGGTATTACGGATAGAAACAGGATAGACGCAGCGGAGACTGTAGCTAGTTGGCTGACAGTAGGTTTTACAAAAGACGTGTTCCATGTAGCAAAGGTTTGACCATGAGACTTACTCAGATGCTTTAGCCTCGAATTAGTCACCCAGACGCAGTGGAGGGGTAATAACGCTTCGAGTAGCACATATGGGGTGGCAGTGGTCAAGTAAAATACTTGAACCAGGGAGATAGCAGACGGATCCTACGGGGCAAGAGTGCCGCTCAAAATGGCCCACCACACTACATCTAAATAAGCACGGTAAAATTGTAACAGTGAAGGCTTGATACGCGGATATAGGAAATGTTAATAGCCCAGGGCAAAAAGAGAGATACCACAAATGTTTAGTACATCTTTGGTCAAAGGATCGGATTCAATTGTCTCTTTTAAGAGTTGTAGTATGTTGCTAAGATTGGAAAAACTCACTGACGATGTCAGCGAAACGTCCACGGTCAGACTTTGGAAATTATCATACATACAATGGACTCCGGACTAGGTGCGTTCCTCTAAGTCTTCCTACCAATATGACCAAGTTGAGAAAATCAGGTCAAACAACTTCAATATATAATATGATTGATGTAATAACAATAAATCATATCAAAGGACCACGAATGGCTGCCCCGCCAGTTAACGTCTAAAACATGGACCATTAACGCAAACACATGTCCAGGCCTAGACCACTCCATGAATTTGTGACATTAAAACCAGTTAAAAAATTAGAAAATGACACTAGGGATGGTGGTCGAAGTGGGGCGAAATAATAGAAAAAATGAAGGCAGATAGGAAGAGGAGATTATAGTTAACTGTTAGTGACCTGCAGAGTCTCGGTATAATGCTGCTGTTCAGGTGAAACGTGCGCAAGAATGCATGGTTGAGTCTCGTGTCCTATGATCGTCTCCCGCAGCAGGACAGTTAGCCCGGACTCTCTGTACGGAAGATGGCGTTGCCCAGTTAGCAGGCTAAGCAGTACGCTTGATATGCCTCCCAGCGAGAGAGCCGTTGTCCAACTAGAGCTAATCTCTGCTACACTGGAGGTGCTGTTGTTATGGCCTGGATAAAAAGTCGGTGCCCTTCTTCCATTGTTATTGTCAACAGCAAGATCTGCGCCCGCATGGCCACAAGCACGGCCAGTGTTGGAGCCTTTTTTCTGTACAGAGTTGTGAATAGGCTCTAGCCCAAACCGTTCATGCTGAGCATTCTCACTAGCAGGCCTAGGAGCTATGGAGTGTATCTGGGCTGTCCGACTCACCCAAGCATGACGGTAAGGAGCGACAGTAGTAGATGAGGAATTAGGGGCTGGATGCATAGAAGATGGCGAACTGGTTATATGCCCAGAACTATGCTCAGTGTTACCGCTGCCGTAACGACCACAACCAAGGTCGAGGAAGTTGAGCCGGTTCCGACCTGCTACCACTACATAAAAGGAAAAAGTAGATTTGGGCAGTGCATGTAGGAACAAATAGCTTAGGCTAGGTAGAAGATGAGAAATGACGATAGTTTTTCTTTACTCAATAGTATATGATGTTATAAGTGAAAAAATATAAATCTCTCCGTAAGAAAAGTTAATAAAGAGGTAGATCAGAGTTGCGATGATACCCTTAAGTTTGCTGTATTGCTAATACTAATCCTACTATTAATAGAACGAATAAGCAAGGCCGGAAAACTAGCCACTCTTCATGGGTGTACAAGAGGTCGCGAATAGGTAAATCCAAAAAATTATATGAAAAGAAGGGAATGCTCATTAGAAAACGGAAAGTTGAGTTTATAGATATTTTATTTCGATGAAGTTAAGCAAATCTTAAAATTAATGAAAATTTCTATAGCTTGAAAACTCCTACAGAACTCTAATGAAACTATCATAATAGCACAGTCGCTAGAATATACTGAGCTTGTGATCTGGATTAGGCCTTGAAGTTTAATTTAATCACCAATCCTCTTTTAAATTAAGATTTGCATCAGCATCGTCAATAATCAGCTCATTCAAAGGACCAAATTACAAGTGGTAATAATGCAAGACCTATCGACCAACATTGTCTAAAAATTATGGTTCTTGTCAAATCTCTTGATTCTCTCAATAACTCCATATGGCCAAGATTCCTCCCTCTATTCAGATTTAGGCAGCCTGTAATTTGTAGCTAAGGTTGGTTCTAATAAATGACTGTGCTGCCAGCGAAATACCTGGTCACCTAACAATATTGAGAAAGTCCCCCAGAAAATATCTTTAAGCTGCAAAAACTATATTCTAATAATGTAAACTGAATAGTATTATTCAATTGGCCATACCAAATGGGTTTAATCGCTGTAAGCGACATCGAAAATATATTCTAATATTCATTTCCTCGAATGTCATCTGACCTCCGGACCAAAATTATCCACAAATTTGAATTAGACCCAATGTATCAATAATCCAAATGTGCTAATTCCATCACATCCACAAAATATTTAACGGATAGAATGACCAGCTCAATTGATTTCTCCATAGGCAAGGTCAACAATGTCTCATTGGAGGCGGACTGGATTCCTCCATCGCACTATCATCCTCTCACTCGTCTCACGTATTCTAACTTTTGGAGCAGCGTTTTGCCTAAGTACCAGTCCAGGGAAAGTCTCAACGCTCGACCCTCCAAAATCAAGTAGGATACCAGTTACAGCGTCATAATCTATAGCGAGCCCAACCACCCGAACAGCTCCGATGGGATTCAGTACGAAGCCGTAAGTATCGTGACGAAGTTTACCACTCCAATACATGGCCAGTGGTGTTAGTGAGTTACATGAAAAATGCGACATTCAAGACAAGCTGGGCCTCTCCCTGCTCGGATTTTATGATGGGATTGTCGATTAATTAATCGACAACGTTACTCATTTTATAGATAAGTAGGTTTCGAGACTAGCAATAGTACACAACAGCCCACCAAAGCCAAAACGTCCTTCCACATATTCAATGCTACAACTAAGCCTCACTCACACTCGACTTTACTCCCTTCTCAAATTGCGAATCTCGAAGGTCACGGCAGAGGACGCAGTAAGAGGTAGGGTTGTTCGAAGTCCCCTGAAAACACAGACAATGTGAGGAAACTAGAAGAGACTAAGTTTATAGAGTGAAAAGATCCCGCAACTAAAATAAACGCCGCGTCATCCTGATCTGCATAACTCCGATATTCGACAAGCACAACTTTTTATATTA